ACCCCCGGGCATCCCGGTTCTGGTGCGGCTTTGGCAGCATCCCTCAGGGCCCAGGCAAGAACCTTGGGTTCCTCCTCGCCCCAATGCCTCTCCTCCCGCCCACAGCCCCAAGTCTCCTCAACTCCACCTCACCCCACCCCGGTGCTGTATACTCCGCTGCCAACTCTGCGACTGGTCATCAAAGTCCCCGGACGACTGGGCGGCCACCTAATATTTCGAGTTATTCGGAAGATAACCTCTCGTCCCCCTCCCCACCCTGCTTCCTGTGCATCGGGCAGAAGCATTTTTTCATGTGGCATAGGAGATCCAATGCTTCGGATCAGGGCTAATGACGGAATTGTTTCCCCGGCTTTGCCTCCTAAACGCAGCAACTTTAGCAGTTGCACAGATCAAAGCTCTCCGGAGAGGCAAGATGAGGGAAAGAATATTTGTTCAAAGAAAGTGAACTCTTCCCTTTAATTACCCTATTCTTCTTTATTAGAATTCCTATTGAAATTTTTTGCAAAAAAATTCGGTCGATTTAACCATAGTGTATTTACGATGTAAATATATTCCAAGATGAAAACGTCACGAATCAATTGTAAAGGACCTGGATACATAATTTTAAAAAATCAGTTTCAGTGTATATGAGGTTCTCACCCCACTTTCACTGCTCAGTCAGATTTGTTTATGCAGAATCGACATTTAATAGTGCTAATTGCACTCCAGTTAAATTGCCCTGATTGCAGAAAGGGAAGCAATTTTCGTGCTCTCTGTCTGGGTTTGGAAGAAATTGTTTTATATTCACCTCTTTATAAAGAAGTGGAGATAAGGCACCGGGGCCTTTGCACAAATTGCACTTAGGGGCTGACTGGCAGCATTCAGGCGCTATAATAGAGCATTATTTGGCCGTTTTGAATAATGTAAAGCGTTTGCTGAAAGCTATTCTCCTGAAAATTGCTTTAACTTTTAAAAAGGGTGATGATTCACTCCAAACCAGGCCTTTGTTACATTGTCATTATTTCCCCAAATGTTTTAACAGTCAGCTCAACACTTTAGCATAACATATTGATCTTTGTTTAAAAACTAGATTTTTTAGAGGATGAAAAAAATCTGTCACACACACACACACACACACACAAAAACTGGACTTCTTCCCAAAGATTTCCTGAGGGCCCCACCTTAGAGTTGAAGTGGCCGAGGTGTCTGCCTGCGTTCGTTTGGAAGATTTCCCGAACTTTTATTGTGATCCGGACGCGTGTATCTAAAGGAATATCCCAGAGCCCACGTAGAGAGTCTGACAGCTGGA